AACCCCTTAACCCTAAACCCTAATCCCTAAGTCCCTAAACCCTAAACTCTAAACCCTTCACGCCCAAGCTTTACCATCCCAATAGGGCGACGCCGACGCGCAGCTGGCTTTGGCACTGCAGCTGGAGCAGTGCCGCGTGCACAGCTGCCGTTGGGAGGGGTTGCGGTTTAGGGTTCGGGGACACAGGTGTGCAGTAGGTGGTTGGGGATTTTCGCCGGGTTAGGGGATCTAACACCAGTCAAAAACACGTGCCAAGGGTCGGTGTCGAATCCCGTCAGTTGTACTGTCCTCTTTGTGACACAGTCATGCAGATAAGATTGTTTAGAGGCTGGTGACTATACTTGGAGGCTCGGGGGACTTAGTAAGTAGTTACTTTGTAGACTTATAAGTACCATAACCCCAATTAGGATCCCTTTTAGGGTACCTAAGTCCCCCGGCCCTCCAAGTAGATTACATCTATGTAAAGTCGTTCATCTTGGCTGAAACTTCTGAGGGCTCAGGTTTTGGGGTTAACTTACAGGCATGGGGACAGTTCAAAGATTGTGTTCAGGAGTTCTCTAACCCCCGAATCCAACTCGTAAGTCCGAAACCCCCAAAACCCTAAACCCTACCAAAACCCTAAACCCTAAACCCTAAACCCTAAACCCTAAACCCTAAACCCTAAACCCTAAACCCTAAACCCTAAACCGTCAATTCCGAAGCCCAAAACCCCAGGGTACACACCAACCCCTGAGCTTACCTCCCATGGCCGCAACCGAAGCACCGCACCCCGAGTCCCAGCTTAGAAAGCTCGCTGGATCCATCGTCCGAGCTGGAGCGGTTTAGGGTTTAGGGTTTAGGGTTTAGGGTTTAGGGTTTAGGGTCGAATGCTCTCTTCAATCCTTGTTTTCTTCTTTGCACGACGGCAGACAATGTGCGAGCTATGATGGAATTTTGCATTGGACCTGCCTGGCGGCAAGAAGTGCACACGGAAGTGCTTGCGGCGGTTGCCATTTTTGTGTTTCGCAGGGCTGCTGCGACAAGGACCGCACCTGCAGCGGTGAGGTCGCGAAGAGAATGCAACCCTGCAGGGCCAGTACAACGCCAACCCTAAACCCTAAACCCTAAACCCTAAACCCTAAACCCTAAACTCCGCCGGCAAAAAAGCCTGCGGCTGTCCAGGAGCCAGGGCCGATCCTCCAGGTCTGG